TTCAGCTGAATCCAAGTTTGAGTGATTTTCGTCGTAGTAGCACTTTAAATTTACAATCATGAAACATTTCTATGGAACTTTTCTTTTAATGACACTACTCTGGCTAATAGTTGAGACTCAAGGGTTTATTCATTTTACTTTTGGTAATTTTTATTTAGTTACCTCTTGGTTTGGTTGGTCTACAATCTTGTTCATGATTTCTTGTTGGTATTTCTCTACAACTGAACTGACGTCGAGCTTTAGATCAGAAAGGATGTGAATCCATAGGTCTTTCTTGTAGGATACTGAAGAAATGTAATCAAATAACACAAGATTACTTGGGTTTGGTCCATAAGCAACTAATGCGACGGCTCAATGCCTAACGGGTTTTGCAATCCAGTAGGCCTTTCCTGAATTTACTTACCTTACTGATCACGGAACGATGGTTTCAAGTCGAGGTTGAACTTGATGAATAAAAAAAATTAAGTTCAGTCTCGACTTCAAACCATTGTTTTGTGGTCATCCAAGCGAATTCAGGAAAACCGGTCTATTGATAAGGCAGGCGATAGATTGGATTAGGATTTAGAAGTTGATTTTCATGGAGGGAGGAAAAACCATGGAACCTGGAGGAGAAACCTTAGAAGGAAAGGAGAGAACCAACAAACAACTCAACTCACATAAGACACTGAGCTCGGCGAGGCTCGAACCTGGGTCGCAGTGGTAAGAGGCATCCATTAAAATCAATGTGTGAGTTGCAGGGAGCGATGGTCGTAAAATTAACAACTAACATTGCCCTACCTATCACAGTATAATGACAGTATGACAGGAAAGAAAGAGCAATATTCTCTCTTGTTTGCTCATCAAGTGTGGGGTCACTCTTGAATGGTCCTAACCCAAGCAACATCAAAGTCTTGACCAGAATTTTGCTTGGTATTGAGGTGGAATAAGCTGCATCAGAACCATTGGTTATAGGCCCATCTGTTGTGCCATTGGTTAAACCAGATGATGATGAAATCTTTGATGTAATCTGGTAAGCGATTGAAATAACTGATGTAGTGTTGAACTTTTAGCACATGTTGTGTGAATATAATAGCATTACAATATACAGTGTTGGAATAAAAAGAAAGAAAGGTTTACAAGTAGAAAAGCTTAATGATATTTATGTATGAATGAGTAGGTAGAGGAATATATGAATGTATTACTGAATTGATGGATGGATGGATGAATGAATGGATGAATTAATGGATGGATAAAAAAAATGAAGGAAAGAATGAAATGCAAGAATGAATAAATTATGAATGAGGGGTTATAAGTGAGTGGATAAAGAGACGAAAGATTAATTTAAAAAAATTAAACATTTAGTCAAATAATTTAAAAAATGGAAATAGTATTGTGAGTGAACGGATGAATAAATGGATGGATAAATGAATGAATGAATGAAACAAAGGAGAAATAAAGAGAAATGTACCTGCTGTTCATCWAACAGAGAAGAGAATTCTTCCAGCAACGAAGACTGATGATCCAAAGCCTCTGTTCCTGCACTAACATATAGCTTGTGTAGAAATGTCTGAACATCTTGACGAAGCTTTCTATTTGAATTAGTCATCAGATATATGATGGCATGATACCACGGCCTGGAATACAACAGACATATTTACTCACTGTAGCTATGGTAACAAGGTACTTGACAGGTAAAGGAATAAATGCGCCATTTTACAAACGAATTGTAAAAATGGTGTCAGGTTTAGTTGAAAAGGTTTAATCACTGAAGATTAGACCAAATGGTGTATTGGGTAAACAATTAATTAGGCTAATATAATTATGCATATTGCAGTTTTGCAAAGCATTTTGCTACTCTCATGCATGTGTTTTTATGTAAACCCTCTTCAATGCCCAGGATATTGATTACCCAGAATACCCCTTGGCCTTAGCTTCGATGGTTTAAAATTTTCGACCTGACATTTTTTWAAATTTGGTGTAAACTAACTAGCAAATTTCTCTAAATTGTGGCTAATCCTGCACAGACTCTTGACATGGTACAGCAATGTGAAATGCAAAACTGGATTATTTACTTACTGCCTGTTAGACTTGTTCATTCTCTGTGAATGACTGATGAATAACGTCTCAATGGTAGAAAGAAGGGCTTGCAATGCTGTAAGAATGATCACCATTATATGTTTAAATTAAATCATAATAAAATCATGTTATAAATATACATGAAAAGTAACCATGTTTTTAGATTCTGCATTCCATGCGCTTGCTCTTGGAGGAACAGAAGTGTTCCAGGTGAAAACATTAATGAATTATCATAATAATATGAAGCTATCAGTTACACTTGATAATAAGCTGTGTCACATTTTACTCTGCTACCATTGGATTCCTCTTTTAACAATACATTGTAATGTAAATTATAATGGATGTGAAATTAGACAATCACATAAAAACTGATGGTTCCAATTAAATATAATTATTATATTGTTAAAAAATATTTTTTCTTTCTTACTTTCCATTTCTTTTTCCTTTCCATTCTTTTTCATCATTACTTTCATTCCCTTTCATTTCCTTTCCTTTCCCTTCCCTTCCATTTCTTTTTTTTTCTTTTTCAATCATTGTATAGTATACCTTCAGGTGAGGCAGCCTGGAGAAATTTATCAGACACAAATAACATTTTCTTTGTATCCAGAAACATAGTCCAGAATGAACTGAGTTTAGACTCTGAAAAAAACACAAAAAAAAATCATCAGGCAATATTGAATGGGTTCCCTGTGTTGAGATGATAATTCTTGGTTTGGGTTTCCTGTGGTGTGAGCAAGTGGCAATGCTGGAACAAAAGCTATTAGAAATAATTATTTTATCATTGGAATCTAAACCATTAAAATCATACATCAATTTTATCATACCATGAAAGAACCTCTGAGATGATTTAAGTCATGATGCAGATGACTCACAGATCCAATTAATTTTTTTTTATTCATTTAAGGAATATAAAATGCACTGGGAACTGTAGAGCAGCATGCTTAGGAAGATGAGGTGTAAACGAGTGTTTATCTTGCTTTTCTAGTGTTTTACTGCTCCCAAAGTGTTTATATCACAGTACAGACACATAGGCAGCTATTTTACATTGCTTCTGTAAAATATTTTTGAACGATTTTGTGCATGCATGACTATGTCCTTTGATATAAACACAGTAGCTAGCCAACCAGCATGTGCAGTATATCTCAAATATTTTTTATTTCATTAATAGACTCATCTATTCTTTAGTTCACCCCAGGAATAGAAGCTCATTGAGGTGGCTCACTGACTATTTAATAAGCTGGACATGTTAAAAGAAGTACAAAAAGGAAAAAAAAAAAAATTATATAAATTATCTAAAATATATAATATCTTTACATACAACTTATAGATCCAATTCGAAATTTACAGCTGTAAGTATTGCATTGGAGAGAGGAAAAACATGAGAAAAACACCCTTAAGACTCGGGAGAACCCAACATATTCTGTTTGCATGAAAAGCCAAGTCCTGAAATACAATCTGAGACCTTGAACATGAGACAGAGGTACACTACTGCTACGCCATACTTGACTCCTGACAATAATAATCCTATATCCTATATTACGCAATATACAAAAATACAATGTATATCGCGTAATAGACAAGAGTGTCTCACCTGCTTTAATATCCACTAATGACAGCCTGACAAGAATAGATGATGCCATCAGACCAGCTGTTACTGTTGCTGTCTGATGTGGTTGACTGACGCCTCGTTCCACAGCCTAAAAAACATGTTAAAGACTTTAAGGCCACCTAGTGAAAGCGATACTATAATTATTGGTTATTAGAGAGCATTACCTGGAGAAGCTGTGGAAGAACTTCAATCCCTTGCAACAAAGTATTTCCTGGAAAAGACAGAAATTTTACCATGATTAATCTTTCCCTGCTGAGTAGCAAAGATATAATGTTACTGCTAGTTCTGAATTAGATAGTCTTGTTTACTTTGTGCAAGGTCCATACTATTATCGGTGGTTCTTAGGTTTTTCACTGGGAAGCAGAAGATTTGAAGTGAAACACACAAAAGTATGGCCATAAAAACCAGTCAGTTTTGGACAAAATGTGTCTGTTAAACATACAAAAGTCTGTGCATAGAAGTATGTGAATACTTTAAATGTGGTTATACATGCATTGTACTCTTGCGCATTGTGCTGTCATAAGAAATTTATTGTAAGTGCTATATTCATCATTAATATTTTCTTGGGTTCAAAAAGTGGTGAGAAACAACAAAAAAATAGATAAATAAACAATAATCAAACAAACAGATAAAAAATAGAGTATGTGAATAACACTTGTACAAGGTTCTTACAGATTGTTGGATATACAGTAGAAAACTATCATTATTTACTAATAATATGATTATTAACCTTTAAGAGCAGCACCCATGCACTGGATGTATCCACTTTGTACTGCTGTTGTTGAGACCTTGTTGTTCATCCCTTTCTGCCGTTGTCAGTATGAATGAATGAATGAATGAATGAACGAATGAATAAATAAATGGGAATACAAAAAATTGGATTAAGAACTTGGAAAAAGAAATTTTTTTTTCCATTGGTATAAGAAAACTGATTGTCATAACTTTGGCTCTGGAATGTAATTTTAAGTACAAGACGTTTTTGAAAATAAATAGAACATTTTGGACTATATTTGAACATTACAACATACCCAATATATTACCTTAAATGCTTCAATCAACAGTTTGGGTACTTCAGAAGTGATGTGCTTACACCACAGCGCAAGAACTGACAAGGCATTGACTACGGCAGCTTCTTGTACTAGAAGAATAAAATGTTACTCTGTGAACAAACAATCTCTGCAGCTTTTATTCGATTTGATTTTTATGCCATCAATTGTTAAGGATGGAAATATAGAATTGTTATAATATTATGGCCGATTTTTAGCCATATTAACCCATGGTAGGGATATGCCCTAGGCAAAGACCATCTTGGTTGATTTAGAGAAATGTACTTGACTATTGAGCACATAATTGCCTGCCCAGTGTTGGAGCAGTGTTGGAGCAGTGCATAGGGCAGAGACTGTTGGCCCTGCAATATGGGCTACTTCTACTCAGGTGCAAAGGTGCTCAGGGCAGAGACTGCCAACCCTTATAATACTAACCTTCCTGCTGCATATAAGGAATCATTTTCTCTACAACAATATTGACAAGGTTCTCCATAGATGAACTATTGCCGATAGAATTAGCTTCAAGATACCCAATGGCCTCCAGGATAGCTACTCTGTCATTCCATACAGTCAGCTTTCCTTCTGAACCTAAAGAATGGTTTAAAAAAATGGCCCAAGTAAGAACTTGCTATAGGCAGCTTCTAACTGTTAATATCAACAAGCGATAAGGTGAAAACAATTTCCATCTTCTGGGACCCAATTCAGAGAGGGGGAAGGGGAGGGGTGGGGTTAACCAGTACCCACCACCTCTGAAACTAAAATCTTTGATGGTATCTTCAAATATCTCCTAAACAAAAAGCTGACTTGCAAAAAAAGAATGTATTGTCTGCTTCAAAGTATGTTAAATAAGTTGTTTGTCACCATCAAACATTTCATTTCAACCAAACTCATCTTAGGCCGGTTCTCTTGACTAGTCACACGTTGACCAGTCTGATGTGACTGGCCATTATGTCTGGCCATTGAGCAGTCTTTATTTTTAAAACAGTCTTACCTCCCAAGACATCAAACAAGTACTTGATAAGTTCAGTCATTTCATTAGGATCGCTGCAATGATCTGCCAACCCTTTGACAATAAATGCAGACTGCTGCCTGTGGATGTCTTCTTTGACTCTCAGCTGACCTAATTGTAAATTCAAACCATAACAGGTACAGTTAATATTATTCACAGAAAGAGCAGAGGAGTAGACATGGCTTAGTTGGCATTTATCAAAATAATACTCTCAGAAATATACTGAAATCTAGGTTGAAGCAAACTGAGAATGTGACATCATCAACCTCTTCATTAGCATAAACTTGAATATCTCTTGAACCAAAAATGCTAACAAGAAATGGAAAATGCCAGTTTCCTCTTTTGGAAAGTACTATAACAGGTGTTTAAATAGTAAAAATTGGAGACATTAAAATTTGATCTTGGTAACACTTTAAGGTAAATTTGGTTTCACATGGGAGTTATCAACATATCTATGTCAACGGAAATAGATCGGAAGAGCGTACCTGAAACATTTTTGCAAATATTGACAGCATACTTGGATAAGTCAATAGATACAGCAGATATCAAATAGCCAGTACCTAAAAATGAGAAAGAATATACATTTTACTTTTACAGTGCAACATGCAAAAGTATGACCACATTTAACGTATCCACATACTTCTATGCACTGGCTTTGGGCTACCAAATTACCATCCAGTTTTGCATTGAAATGTGTCACTTTAAGGTACAAAACCCATACATTAAGCATGGTCATACTTTTGCGCTCTGCACTGTAATCATTTATCAGATTTTTTTCTTTATTGCTCTTTAGCGTTGTATTTTATACAATAGTAGTTAATAAAGATATATCATAGGAAAATATTTGTACAAAAATTATCATAGCATCTATAATCTTGGAGAGAGAAAGGAAAACAGAAAAGAAGTGGGAAATATTGGGAAGGAAAGTGAATGAAAACAGAAGGTAAGATAGCAAAAAAGAGAACGGAAATGAAAGAGAATGACAGAAAAAGAAGAATGGAAAGGTCAGTGAAACATAGGCAAAAAAAAAAAAGGAAAATGGAAGGGATGAAATGGAATGGGCAGGAAATGAAATAAAAGTGGGATGGAAGAGAAGAAAGATAAACTTCAATGAGAACTAAAAATTAATACAGACATGTTGACATACATTCAAGAACTGTTTCTGGATTTCTTAGCAGGGCCTTGAGAAGAGCTGGTAGGATTAGATCACTGAAGTCCTCCCGTGCCAGATGGCATAAAAACCTTGAACACTGTAACTAAAATAGTAATATATTATTAGATACTCAACACCAGATGAATAGGAATTTAGAAGTTGATTTTTGAGAAGGGTGGAAAATTGGAAAAAATCCCTTGAAACACAGGAGAGAAACCAAGAGCAACTACTCACATCACACGCAAAAACCAAACCCAATAATTGAACCTGATTCACATTGGCTAAAGGCGACACATTAGCAATGCAAGAGGGGCTTTAAATAATGACCAGGCATTGGACAATGCCTGGCCAGAACGGGCCTTATTCATGCGGCAGCCATGTTGGATTGAACAATAGATTCCACCACGCGTAGCCTCAACTTCAAACGCTTGAGAATTAATTTATGCTGGGGAAACAAARGTTTTTATTCTCATGAGAATAAACATGGCCGCCGTGTGATATAGGCCCACTGGGACTTGTCTGGTCAAATCTTCGTTTTGTCGCTCATTTTGACCAGTAACGCTGAGCCAAAAAATCAGGTATGACTAAGTTAAAACTAATTGGGCCTGTGATCATGACTGGCGACTCATTTTAAGCCCTGTGCAAAACACCTGCGAATATATATCACTACTCCTCCTTCACCAGCATTGGGCATTCAAGTAGCATTAATTATTATACATTATATATACTTACCAACACTGGTGTCGATTGCTTTGTCTTAATGGTAAGGATATTCTTGATGTAGACATCAATCAAAGGTTTCTGGGGAAAATATAAAAACGTTTAATAATCTCTGGACTACCTGTTCTAAAAATATTAATCTACTGGGCTACCTGTGGTAAAAATATTAATCTACTGGGCTACCTGTGGTAAAAATATTAATCTACTGGGCTACCTGTGATAAGAAATAAATATAATGGGCTACCTGTGGCAAGAATTATTGTTTTGGGCTACCTGTGGTGAAAATAATCTACCAGCTACCTGTGGTAAAAATATTAATATACTGGGCTAACTCTGGTAAGATATTATTCTACTGCGTTACAACAACTGGGTTATAACAACTATCGTCTTTTCTGAATTGCCTGTAGTAAGCAGAAATTTCAGCTTCAAGTAATGTAAAGTGGTGAAATGAGATAAGGAGATAGCTACCTTGTATTTTGCAATGATGCCTTGTTCTGACTTGTTCTTAGAGCAGTATGTAAACAGTTCACCAGCTAGACAAAGGGAGAACTAAAACCAATGAAACAAAATATTAATTAATGAATTATTATTAATGTTGCTGCTGCTGTTATTGATGGTGATGTTGCTGCTGCATGCCCTGTTGTTGCTGCTGCTGGTGTTATAGCTGTTGTTGATGTTGCAGCTGCTGGTGTTATTGCTGATGTTGCTGCAGTTATTGCTGCTGTTATTGCTGCTGCTGTTGTTGCTGCTGTTGTTGCTGCTGCTGTTATTGCTGCTGTTATTGCTGCTGTTGGCTGCATTGATGTTGCTGCTGGTGTTATTGTTCCTGCTGCTGTTGTTGATGCTGTTGCTGTTGCTGCTGATGTTGCTGCTGATTTTGCTGAGCTGCTGTTGTTGTTCTATAGGTTGTATCCATACTAATCTCTCTAGGAATCAGGGAAAGACTTACCTCTGAAGGTTCAAGCTCACTGATTGCTTTGGCATACTTTTCAGTAATACCTGGAACCTGATAAACAAAAAAAAATCACGTCATCTGTGATTGAGGGTTAGTATAGTAAAAGAAATATAAGAATGTTGACAAGAGCAGGGTGCAGGGATAGATCTTGGGAAGGTTCATGAGTCCTTTCTGCCAAGGAATGTTTAGAAAATATGGGAAATTCCATCACGGCTAGAACATGAAAAAGCACCAACTGACATCGTAGCAAGTATGACAATGCCAAGTACAACAGGCTTGCATGAAAAACCAATTGGGAAACATGAGCTCACATCATCATTCTGAATTGTTTTCCTCGCTCCTATCTTGGATCATAAGGTTGACCCTTATGCTAAATTTACACCATACCTCTTTCCAGATGGCAAGCAACTTCTTATTGACTACTTTACAGACTGTGGTGTTACCGGCAGACAAGGCACCATAAGTGGCCAAATAATGACACTCAACCAGCTTATTCCATTCTGACCCTTGACATTTTTCTGCTTTAGTATAGACTCTTCTCAGTATTATACAGGTCCATTTGAACAGTATTAAAATATTACCACTGGTTACTGGGCTAAAACAGAATCAAAATTCATATGTGAGTACACATGCTTACCATATCAGGGGTTTCATTACGTTTTCAAATGATAAGAGAATGTCATGAACTAGCCAGAGAGTTTAAGTGAACATTTAAGTATGGCTTTGTTGTAAACAGTTTCAGCTCAGTATATCTTACCTGTGATAACACTTTTTGATGTAATTCTCCAGATCCAAAAATGTGGCACAGAAGTACTTAACTGCCTTTAAACCTTGAATACAAAGGAGGTAAAATCATTCTTTTGTTAGATCAATGATTAATGATCAACATTAATTATTGGACAGACACTGTACTATCATCAAGAARCATGTTCTATCTCCATCCCTTGATGTCTATCCCTCTCCTGCCTTTACACGTTGATCAATGATTAATGATCAACAGCAATTATTGGACAGGCACTGTACTATCATCAAGAAGCATGTTC